TCAGAAAAACCACAAGCTACAGAAACAAGTGCACAAACACCAACAACAACACACCCGGCATCAGGAAATGAAGCAACACACTCTACAGAAACAACATCACAACCATCAAGTACATCACCTGCATCACCACAACAACAAAACCAACCTTCATCAGTCTCAACACCATCAGGAAATGGACAAAAAACAGAAAAATCAAATGAACAAAAACCACAAAAAGAAGACTCAAAAGGACAACCTCAACAACCACCAAGTCAACCAAATTCATCAGCAAAACCAAGTGAAGAAACGTCACCAACTCAAACAACAAACAACCCAACACAAATAAGTCCATCAACTTCAACTCAACAACCAAAAGGAAATAAAGACACACAACAAAAAGATGAACCACCAAAAGAACAACCACAAAATCAACCACAAGATAATGGAAAACAAGATCATAATAAACCAGAACCACAACAACAAAATCATCCACAACAAAATGAAAAACAAGATAATAAAAATACAACTACTTCTGATATTTCACATGATAAAACTATTGTTAGTTCTGTTGATAGTTCTGATATTCCTAATAATATTGATGGGACATCAGGTATGTTTATGTTGTTGGCTTTTGTTATTCAGTTGATCTTCTTCTAATTATTGTGTTTCTCTCTTTTCTTTTCTTTTCGTATTCTTCTTTATCTTTTATTCATATGTCTATAAAATATTTCCTATATTTCATTCATGTTTAATGTTATTACAAAATTGAATTAATTCATATACATTTGAGATTAATGAATAACCAATATTATCAAAAATGACACGATAAAAGAATAAACATTGATATTAAAAGAAAATAAAAGAAAATAAATTAATAAATTCATAAGAAATAGAAAATATCATGAATATATTATGAATGAATAAATAATTGATAATGAAAACACAACATTTTAACACAAATATTATCATACAAATTGTTAGAATGGTTATTAATTAAATGAATAATAACATTTATAATCATATTTATATTAATTATATGTAGTTTATCATTATTGAAATAATGAAACAACAAATTAAAAATGAATATAAATAATTATGAAATAATTACAATATAAAACTATTTGATGAATTAAATATTTGATTAATCATATGTAAATATATAAAATATGAATAACATAAGTGAAGTATAAGAGAATAATTGATATTAATATCATTTATATGATTCATTTATAATAATTTATTTTTTAATTTATTA